TAAATAAACGAAACTTATTCAATTGAATTTAAAATGAAGAACATTGTCCAATATTTATAAGAATTATTTAAACTGAATTGCAAAGCTGAAATTATTTATTTGAAGTATATAAGTGAGCTTTAGAATTTTAGCTAGAATTAAAATTGAAATACAAATTATTTTCAACATTCAAAAAATTTTTTTTTAATTAAAAAAAAATTGAAAAAAAAAATCTTTTCCTAAAAGCAATCGTTTTGCCATCACAAGCAGAGTGTTTCTAAAACATTCAAATCGGATGCTTAGTTCTCTCAAAACATGCAATTTTTTGCATATTTAGCTTCTAACTAATTACCACTTCTCCCCATCATTACGAATTGAATGCTTTTTGGATCATTCAAATCGGTTTGCTCCCTTCTCTCAAAAACTCGATTTCTAATTTCTGCACTCTTTGCTCCTTATCTCCAAAACGGCTGAACCTGCTTTGCCAAAAACTAATCAGCACATCTCCCTATCAATAGGAATCGAAGGTTTTATGAACCATTCAAATCGGTTGATCCGTGCGCTAGAAAACGTGGACGAAAAATTGTATTCATACATACATACAAACACACAAATCCATTTTTTCTGAAGTATGCCAAAATGTTCAACCTTCAAAACGTGAAGAAATGCAAAAAAAATTAATTTCGGTTTTTAGATGATTACAAAACTTACTTCATGTAAAGTTAAAAATGTACAGAGCTGTATGCATTTCTTGAATTTAAACACATTAAAAAGTTATTGCAATATTTTGTTCTTATATTTGTTACAGTTAAGTTTATTACATTTCTGATTTTTAAATGTAATTTGGTTATTACATTTATTTTCTAGGGGATATCTATTATTACACACCATCTGGAAAAAAGCTACGATCCACTCGTGAAATAGCAGACCATTTGAGTGATGGATTAACTATGGAAAATTTTTCTTTTGCAAAGGAACCCATTGGTCTAAATGATCCTTCAAAGGAGATCATACGGTATATATGCATTGCTTGTATTTAACTTAATTATTTTTACTATTTTTGTCATTTCGAACTTTGGTTAGTTGTGTTTTCAGTTTTTTTTCTTCAATATGATTTATTGCAATCGATTACATGAATCTCAAAACATATTGAAACCTTTTAATAATTTAATAAAGTATAAAGAATAAAGTAAGGTTTTAATCAAGTACCTACATATCTCTCTCTCTCTCTCTCTCTATATATATATATATATATATATATATATATGTGAGTTTGTGTGTATTATAATATATAGCATGTGAATTATGTTTTCAGCGATGCTCGAAATATTAAAGGGAGGGGAAGTTTATCTTCAAGGGCAGATTCACCTACAACTCCTGTTGCACCGCCTAGTAGTACCTCCTCCATAGGTAAACGAACGCCTAAACCCAAATTGCCAAAAGGAGTCAGTCCTCCTCCTACACCTGCAATGAAGCAAGAAGTTGTCACTCCTACTCCCGAACCGGAACCTAAAGTATCTCCAAAAAAATCACCGAAGTCTTCATTTAAGGTAATTTTATTAATAATAGTTTATATTTAAATCTTATCTAATTATTATTAGATGAGAGATTGTTCTGGTCTCATCTGAAACATATTTACTCTCATCTAGTTTGCAAGTTTGCAATTTGATCTATGCATTCACAATCTCTTCACACAATTGTTGAGTTAATTGTGTAGCTACGATCATCTGAGTCTAATAATTAACAATATTTATTCACTAAACTTTTATGTAGTTTTTAGTCATGAATGTGATGCCTTAAATGAGTGAGTACATGAGATGCCGTGAATACATCAAATGATAATTTTATAGAATGTTTGTATCTTTTATGTTACTATTTCAGTTGATTATCAGTTGATTTATGATTTGAATGTGAACAGAGGTGAAATATGAATAAATGAATTAAATTTTGTTGTATAATGTAATACAATAGGCCTAAAATCTGGAACATACCCAAGCATATTTTATATGTATATAATTTTAAGTATGTGACCACGTCAGTTTAATATAAATGCAGATATTCATAGTTGTATAATATTTATACTTTGATATACTCAAAATAGTCATACCATGGTTACATTTTTTTCAATATAAAATGATTTGTGAAATATGATTTACTATATGATACATCATTACTTGCATTATTTTATTTTAGGTTAAACTTACAAATGCCCGACTTTCAAGTCCAGCTTCAAAAACGTTGGGTATAAAACATGCAAAGTCATTGAAAAGGAAGTCTTTGCCAGCTACAAATGAGAAACCTGTTAAACAATCTGTTGAGAAATCAGAAAAACCAAAAAAGCTGTCCACAGGGAAAAAAGCATCAGTTAAAAAGTAAAGTATATGCATATAACTTCTCTAGCTCTTTAACATATTTCAACATGTATACATATATATATATATATATATATATATATATATATATATATATATATATTAGAGTGGTCCTTAATATGGACATTTTTGAATTTTCTTGCTCCCAAGGGCTCAAATGGTTCCAAATTGATAAAAAACAATTCTCTGAAAGTTTTAGCTCTTAATATTATCTTTTAGATAGAGCGCAATTCAATCAAAGATTTGTATGGAAATAGCATGAAAAAAAATCTCAAAAATTTTGTAGACCGTCGAATTTTCAATAAAAAATGACACAAATTTTCACTTTTAATTCATTTTATACCTAAAATTTTTTTTTGATTTTCAAAATTTTTTTCATGCTATTTTCATACGAAGTTTGATTGAATTACGCACTATCTAAAAGTTAATACTAAAAGCTAAAACTTTCAGAGAATTGTTTATCAATTCGGAACCATTTGAGCCCTTGGGAGAGCAAGGAAATTAAAAAATTTTCATATTAAGGACCATCCTATTATTTATCTTTTATATCAGGGTTTACATACATTTATCCAATTGTATTCAATCTCCTTTAATTTTCCATCCTTGAATTTGACAACAATAGCTTAAACTAGGTAGAAAATTTCTTATACAGTACTGTACGTAGCAGCACTGATGTGATAGTGGAAACTAAGAAAAAAGAAGTTGAAAATAGATTGGATACGTTACTTGTGCAATCTTCAACAAATCCTGTCAAAGACCAATGTTCAATTCAATGTCTGAAGGCTATGGGCATGATACCAACACTTCAATGCCAGCAATGTCTCTGTTTGTATCATTACGAATGTATTGGTATAAAGAAAGAAGATCAATTGAACTCTTTTAAGTGCATGGTATGTATTAAAGATGTTTTTTTTTTAAAGATTTTGTAAATTGCAATATTATTAATCTCCCGATTTCTTCACTTATTTATTTTTTATTATATAATCAAATTTTATTTCGAAATGAAATATAATACGATCTTATTTGTTCACAGAAATGTATTGAAAAGGCAGCAGAAGATACTGCAACTGTGGTGACTGATAATATTCATTCAACTAACAAACCCGCTCCTCCTCCACTCACTCCTATTACATCAATCAAGTCGCACCTTCCTGCATCTGATTCACCTCCAAAATTGCAGCGCATACCACGGCCTGGTGATAAAAATCTTAACCCTAAGTTAATAGCAGATAATAAAAATGTAACTACAACAGATGTTCCTAAATCTAATAATATACTACAGCCTTCCGATAAAAAATTTGATGATGGACATAAAAGTTTGTTGGGTTCGGTTACAACTTGGTTACCACCAAGTTCTAGCATCCAAATGTCAAAATCTCAAACAATCACTGAAACTAATCCCACTGCTTGTGCCCAAGGTATTGCGCATTGTGCAGGCAAAAAGTATATAGTGGTACCAAAGCACAATGTGCTTAGTGTTTTTCCTGCCCAAATAGTGGATAATGGTGATATGAAAATTACTGAGAATGCTTTAAGTGGTATAAGTATTACTACCGTATCCTCATCAAATTTAAACATTCCACATCAAATAAAAGATCCCATAACAAATATTTCTAAGGTGGTGAATTCAGATAATGTTCCAAATCCAATACCTGATAATAATATTCCCTCTAATTTGCTTAACAATAATGGGAATGCCTCCGTAGATGATTGTGGTTTTAGTCACACTGAGTGAGTTTATATTTTTACATACATGATTCAAATTAATATAAAGTTATAGTAATTTATGAAATAGTCTTTAAGGTTCATTGTGGCGGTTTTGCAAAACTATGCTTAGAATATTCATTATTATTTATGATATTGATATAGGTTAATTTTTTTTTAGATTTTGTTCTATTTTATAGTGATATTTGCAAAGTATATTTTAAGTGAGGGCCAGTTAAATAAAACTTGCTGAAATTTGTCAAACTTTTATCCAAATATTAGCCACACAAGATATATCAGGAGCTTATAAATATTTATTTGTAATATGGTGCATATTAACAATGGCATTTCCTCTGTTATAATTTATATCAATGGAGTTTCGAAGTTGATGTTTGTCATTATATGAATTTGTTTCTTGATTTAACAAGTTCTAAATTCAAAATACCAATTATTATATTATTAACCTCCACTTATATTCTTTGTTTCTAACATCATTATTGTTTTATATTATTTGATACAATTTAAATTTATTAGATTTAAATATATTCATTTAACTGGCCCTTAAGATGTGCTAATCCTTATTAACACTCTGCTTTAAATTACTTTTATTTTATTATATATCGAGAATATACTAATTTTGTTTTATTTGCAGATGGATTGCCATATGTTAAAAATTTCCAATAATCCTATCTTCATCCCATCCTCTGATTTGGATAAAAGTATGACCCTTCATATAGTGTAAATATAATATATTTGTAATAAACATATGAGTAGATTAAGTTTTTTTTATAACTACTTTAAATAACTCGAGCATATTTATGAAAGTATGATGTTAAATTTGCTAATTTCAATGTTTGTTATATTTTTGTATCAATATTTTCAGTAATACATCTGCGGATGAAAATTCTTCAAAGAAAAAGGTACCGCATGAGACTGGACCCTCTGCGGATCCAGAAAGGTCTTCAAATAAGGCACTTTCGAATTCTGAGGATGAACAAAAATCGACAGATTCTGATAAACAGGTTACTCTGTCACATGCACCATTTGTTCAACATTTCTGTTTGAATGTGTCAGCAGGATATTTTGCTTTATTGAAGATCTTTCAATATTTAAAAGTGCAGGTCAGTACCATTGAGATAAAAAATTTTTTATGTTATATATTTAAAAATATATGAAACAAAAATAATATGAAAAATAAATCAAAGTATATAAAGACTAATTGTTAGGGGTTGTTTTTCAAGTGGTTCTTTATATTGTTTGATTTTCTTTTCTGTACACATTTTTTAAAATACCATATTTTAAAACATACAAGATCAATTATTTTGTTAGGCATACATATATAATATATATATATATATATATATATATATATTTATATATATAGTTTATATATATATGTATATATATATATATATATATATATATATGTATTTATATATATAGTTTATATATATATATATATATATATATATATATATATATATATCTTGATAGTTTTTTCGACGTTGAAACATATTTCAAAGTAACTAGCAGCCCATTCATCGAAATAAAAAAAGGTATAAAGTATAAAAACTTTTATTTATACGTTTCGACACAAGATGCGTGTCATCATTCAGCAACACAGGACAAAAACACTCAACAAAAATTTATTTTAAAAAATTAAACTTTAATTAAAGTTTAATAAATTTTTTAATAATAATTTTAAAAAATTAAACTTTAATTAAAGTTTAATTTTTTAAAATAAATTTTTGTTGAGTGTTTTTGTCCTGTGTTGCTGAATGATGACACGCATCTTGTGTCGAAACGTATAAATAAAAGTTTTTAATACTTTTTACCTTTTTTTATTTCGACGAATGGGCTGCTAGTTACTTTGAAATATATATATATATATATATATATATATATATATATATATATATATATATATATATATTGGGATAGTCTTGAAAATTGATGTTGATATATTTAATTCGAGTTGAAAAGTCGGGCATTACATCAATAAAAATATAGTATGAGAGTTTTTAGAAATTTATTTTAAATTCATACGTTTTGGCTAGCATCTTAGCCTTCATTCAGTGGCAATCAATTTAAAATTTTGTATCTTAATATAACATATGAAAACATTATTAATCCATGGTATAAGTATGTGCACGTTGATAAAATACATAGTTTCGACAACTTGTTAAGTTATTACGTTTATTTGTGATATTATGTGATTTATCTGCAATGTTAGAATATATATATATATATATATATATATATATATAAATAATACCAATAGCAACTAAAAACTAGTTGGTATTGGTATTTTGCCTTGAGGCAAGTTACATGAACTTCCCGATTTGTGTAAATATTCAACTTAATACATGCTACATAAATTAATTTATGAGTAGTTAAAAGTATTTGAAGTGGATTTATTACACATTATTGAAAATCGAACCCGGTCGGAGTATTTTTTAAAAACAAATTTTCAAAAATCAATTTTTATAATTGAGCCAGTTTTTTGTAGGACTTTAATTGTTTAGTATGTTCATTAATACCAAGTACTCTATTGTTATACCAAGTAAATCGTTTAATTTTAATTTTAACAAATGTCAAAAGAACTACTCATTTTTTCAAACTTTGATGAATTTTTAAAATTAAACTACTTGTCGTAAGGCCGTAATATTTCAGTAAGTTCTATAAGACCATGATACATATTGCCAAAAAAAGTTCCATGAAAATCGGCTTAAAATTTTTTTTCAACAGTTATTTACAAGAAAACAGCTCGGTAAATTTTCACCTAAAACTAATCAGTATCATTCCCAGCTAATATCTTTTGAACAGTTTTCGATTTTTTAAAATCGATTCGGTAGTATGAGCTTAAATGTGGACCAAAAGTTTAACACTATTTTCCAAATTACAAAGAAACGGCTCGGCCGATCGTCGCACAAAACTGACAAACAATAATCCTCATCGAGATACATCAAATGGTTTTTAAATTTCTGAAATCGGTTCAGACGTTTTAAAGCAAACGTCGATGAAAGTTCTAATTTTGACAAATGCCAAAAAGACCATACTAATTTTTGCAAGCTTTGACGAATTTTTAAAGCTAAACGAGTTGTCGTAGGGCCGTAATATTTTAGTGTGATCTAGAAGACTATGGTTACTACCGTCAAAAAATATTAAAAACCGGCGAAAAAATTTTTTTTAACACTTTATTACAAGAAACGGCCCGGCCGATCTCTACCAAATACTATTCAGCACGATTCCCAACCAATATCTTTCGAACGATTTATGAATTTTTAAAATCGATTCAGAATTGCGGGCTAAAACGTAGACGAAATATTTTTCACTTTTTTTGCGATTTATAAAGAAACGGCTTGGCCGATCGTCGCACAAAACTGACAAACATCGAGACATCTCATCGAGATACATCGAATGGGTTTTAAATGTTTGAAATCGGTCGAGCCGTTTTTGAGAAAACGTCGATTTACGACAAACAATTCACACACACACGCACACACACACATACTTTTTCCAAATTTGGTCTCATCCGATTCACAATGGCTTGAAACATCGAGATCGGATTTTTTTATGAAAACATAAACTTCTCCTTTGGGAAGTTAAAAAATCAAAGAATTGTATTATATAATGTTCATAAAGTTTACTGACAACAATTTATTGATAATTAAACACCAATGCCTGTTAAAATGCAATTGCATTGGTAAAAATTGTTTTATTTATTATTATAAATGGATTATACATTTTAATTATGCATCTAAAAATCTCCATTCGTTTCCAAAGTAAATGTATATGAAGTCTTATATTATTAACGATATTATATTTAATCTTTTATAGGAATTACTCCGAGCAAGTCGTGTTTGTCGATTATGGTATGAAATGTCTAACAGCCCATCATTATGGAAGACTGTGAGAATGAAAAATTCTCAAGTGGGAGACTGGCACGGTTTTGCTAAATCTCTTCAGAAACATCAAACAAAATTTTTAGATTTACGTAAAATGCTCATTCCCGCTTCTGTTAATCCTGATGATATGTGGAAGCAGTTTTCGGATAACATAGGTCTAGCTGATTCCCTTATTTCTATAGATTTTTGTAGATGTCCTGCAAGAATTATAGAAAAACTGTGTGAGACAAATCCCAAAATGGAAACAATAAATGCAGTCACTATTAGAGATGATAAATTAGATTTAGCACCATTTGCTACTCTTAAAAATTTACATGAATTGCGATTAAAATCTTCTGGAGGATTTGAAATTCAGAAGGATTTATCACCTTTAAAAGATTTAAAAAATTTGAGGCATTTATCAATAACATCTGTTAAAGAATTGGGAAAGTATGGCTGTGACACAATAGCAGAACTGGTAGAACTTCAGTCACTTGAGTTAGGAGAATGTAATGATTTTCCAGAAGATTTTGGTTCTAATGTGTTAAATAAGCTACAAAAGTTAGAACGGCTTAGGTTGGAGAAAGGTCAAGGCAATTGCCACACATTCAGCATATTGGAATGTGTTAGTAAGCTTCCTTCCATAACACAATTAGAACTTGTTAATTTTGACATTAAAACTGGATTTGATAAGAGTTTAGCACTATGCAAAAATATTAAAAGGTTTGTATACAAATGTTATTAACAATGATGATTTTTTAAAATAGTTAAATGCATTATTATTTTTCAGAATGCTCATAATTCCGACATATATTACTCAGTCAGCTACAACTAATCATATGGTTCTAAGCGGAGTAATTAAGTTGTCCTCAAGTCTAACTCAGTTTGTTTGGGGTGTAACATTGGAGCTGTTGAGAGTAACTGAGCTTTTTGTTGACCAATATGAGAACAGCAAAATTAAAGACAAGAAACCTCTAGCAGAATCAATACCTGTTTTAAAGCCTGTTCCGAGTTTATTGCAACAGAATGAAGAAAAAGTAGAGGAAGGTGGCAATGCAGCAGAGGCCCCACAAGTTGAAATTTTAACATTACAGGCATTACAAAAATTATTGAATGGTTCACTTCCTCAAACAAAAGTTCGAATCTTAAAGATACCTTTTCACGCATCGTGGAGGCAAAGCATTTCTGACACACAGTAAAGTTCTATTTTAAATCAAATTTTTGGAATGATATTTTTGGATCTTTCTGCCTTCGTCACTATATTTTGCATTATTTTGTGATTGAGGACTATCAAATGTATATATGCAAATGATTTATGTTGTTTTAAATACCAAATTTTTTTAGTTTCATATAATCATTTTGAGACATTTTTAGACAATGTAATATCATATATTATGATGAACTATTGCTATTTATTACTGCTTAATTTTTAAAAATATTTTTTATCTTAAGTAAAATATCAAGGAATATTTTTGATGAAAATCTGTATTTGTCAAAAAATATATCCGAGTTAAAATATTATATCATGAAAGATGTATATGTAAACATAAAACAATTTGTTTAATATAGTAATTGTAATAATTATTTTTATATTTCTTTTCCAAAATATTGATAATTAAATATAACTGAAAAGCAGAATTGAAAAGAAGGAAGTACATCTCTAACATCGTGAAAGATAGTTGAGATAGAATAAAATAAATAATAAAACATGGTTGAAATGCTTTTCCAGTTTTTACTGTGGAGAAATGTTTAATGTATGGGACAGATAGACAACTATAAACTATAGTCGTGACAGTTTCTAGAAAATAAAGAAACTTGGAAAATGTCAGTTGATCATATAACATCTATTCATGTTCTAATTTTGAATACAATATTTCATTCCAGTTAATTTTCAAGTAAAGATAACAATTTTTTCATATTAGGATTCATTTGATTGAACTCGAAAGTTAATCTTAGTTATTAATTTTAGGTTTTGGAAAGTTAATTTTTCATGTTATATGTGATTGTTTCCAATTTTTTCATTAATATCAAGCGTGGTATGGAACGGTTTATATATACAAAAATTAAACCTTCAAATTATGCCTATGCTTAAATGAATGATATGATATTAATAATAGATGAAGTTATTGTGCTAGTTTCTCATAATTTTTCATCCAAAAATCATCTATCAACGGTGATGTTTCTTCAACCCTGTTGTGGTTTTTCAGCTATGGAATGGTTTTCTACAACATACAGCCCCCATTCTTCGTTAATAATATAATGGAAAATAACTTAAAATATACATATAATTTCCGAGAAACGCATCAATGCTTGTTTAAATTCATAATATAAAGAAGCTATTTTTATATAATATAATTAAATCATTATATAATCATTTTTAGACAATGAATTATCATTTATTAACTTGGGCTCGGGACTTGTTTCGGAGGTCCCGGGTTGGATACCCGCTTCGAGCAGCCTGTTGTCAGGCAGCAGTGACAACGATTTTCACTTGGAAATATCGATAGCAATATGCTTCCAAGTGAAAATAGCCCTTGCCCGGCATTGCTGCACCAATAAAAAAAAGTTAGCCCTATTAGATTAATTCTAATAACAAATATCATCAAATATGTATGGATTAACCATATGGTTACCATCTAAAAAATACGAAGTGAGGAGAAGTTTCAGCCCAACAGCTCATAGAACGTAAGGTTCTGATTGCTGTTAAAAATATAAAAAAAAAAAAAATATATTAACTTCCCGAAGGAGTTATGATTTTTTATGTTTTCATCATATGACTATGGTATCCATAGTCTTCTAGATCATACTAAAATATTACGGCCCTGCGACAAGTCGTTTAATTTTAAAAATTAGTCGAAGTTTGCAAAAAGTAGTATCGTTTTTTTGGCTTTTGTCAAAATTTATGTTATTATTTTTGTATTACAGCTTTTATTTTATTTTATTTTAACTTTTTTCATTTTATATTTAATTTATTGTATTATTTTGTGTTAGAATTTTGTATTAAATAAGATTTTAATGTCTTGAATAACAAAAATTAATTATAACAAAAAAAAAAAAAAAAATTAGACCTTTCATCGACGTTTGCTCAAAAACGCCTGAACCGATTTCAGAAATTTAAAAGCCATTGGATGTGTCTCGATGAGGATTATCATTTCTGAGTTTTGTGTGACGATCGGCTGAGACGTTTCTTTGTAATTTGAAATCAAGAAACTTTTTGTCCACATTTAATACCGAATTGATTTTGAAAAATCAATAACTGTTCGAAAGATATTAGTTGGGAATGATACTAATTAGTTTTAGATGAAAATCTACCGAGCCGTTTTCTTGTAATTAATTGTTGAAAAAACAAATTAAGTCGATTTTTATGGAACTTTTTTTGGTGATATATATCATGGTCCTACTGAAATATTACAGCCATGGCCGGTAATCTCGGAACAAACGTCTGTAACCCGAGTTTAGTTAGAGCCCCTGCCGCCGGTCGCGCTTGTTTTTTTTTTTTTATTTTTTTTTCACTTTGAAATCGAATTTGACATATGACAGATACTTAAATTAAACATGGCGTCCATTGTAATAAATTTTTCATGGAGAGATAACCTAGACAATATAATAAATGCTTGTTAGAGTAAAAAACAAATAAGCTGTCGAAGTGCATTGTTTAACGAAGAAGAAATACCAAGAAAAATGCATGTATTATGTAGTTCCAGCGAGAAACGACGAAGTAAAAGTAAAATAAGTAATAATATTTGCCGGCTTTCAATCTAAGTGAGTACTTTTATTAATATGCATACTTCGAATTACTTTCATTTGATTGTACTATTCTGATATGATTTTTCATTACAGTTTAATAATTCAGAAATAATTGAGACATTTAACTATATCAATACTAGAAATTTTAAGGTTATAAATAGACAGAGAGAATTCCTGTCAGCTCTCTGAAAGGTATGTTATTAAATAACTAAATATAAATTAATCTTGTTCTAATAATGTAGGATCATAACTAATAATTCTACATCGATTTTTTCAGCAGTATAAAAGGAAAATACGTTCAAATGTAAAATGTTTAGACGGTTTACTAAACACATTCACAAGTGTACAAGTATTGATATGAGATGAATGAATACACAGGAAAAAACAATAAGAATGAAGTCTGAAATGTGCTGAAATCTTTGCTGATCTCCCACTAATATTGAACAGTACGACTCGTAATTATATATTAAGTCAGTTTGGAGAACATACTAAAAACACTAATGATATAATCGTAAGTGAAAGGAAATTCTCAATAAATGGTGAAATTCTAGCTAGTGCAAAGGTTAATTTAGGTTTGGCTATGTCACAGGAAAAGTTTTTAAGTATTAATAATTTCATTTTGATATTACAAGAAATATTATTATCTGTGTTGTTTAATGATGATAAAGGGAATCACATTGTATAGATTTTCAGGAACTGTCAAATGACAGGCAAAGTATAATCATGATTAATGATAAAATTCTAAAAAGCAAAGGGATAAAACACCCTTAATGTGCACTTGCTTATTGCATTTGACTATTCTGAAAGAGATGTCAATAGCTTTACTCTAAAATGTCTTATTGTAGATGCTATAAGAAAACTATTAAGTACTGTTATAATAATATCAATGATTGTTGTTTTTCTTTAAGACAATGATAATAATGACATTTTGAACAAACATTTGAATGCACATTAACAATAGCGCAGAAAAGATTCCCAAATAGAGACTGTACATCATAGATATTATGTAACTTAATGTTAATCAAAATAAATATATATGTAAATATATATATATATATATATATATATATATATATATATATATATATATATATTGGTTATATATTGATCTGAATCAATATCAATCAAAGAATTGTGGTTATATATGTATATGTATATATATAAATAATATATACATTCATGTACATTTCTATTCTTTTTGTGCTCAGCTTGAAAGGCTGATATGCTAAAATGATATTACACACACACATATATATATATATATGTATATATATATATATGTATATATATATATATATATATATATATATATTTGTATATATATATATATACATTGTGGATAGCGTGTACATTTAAGTACATTTTTATGCTTTTCGCACATAGTTTTTACAGCTTACTACCATCTATTATAATCATATATAATGTTATATATATATATATATATATATATATATATATACATTGTGGATAATGTGTATATTTATGTACATTTTTATGCTATGTGTGCTTTGTTTATAAAGAGAACTATGTAGATATAATGTAGAATGTTTTTGTGAAAAATAAATGCTTCAAAATTTTTTTTTTTTTCAATTTTTCTTTTTTTAAATTTTGAATTAAAACGGTCCATATAATTTTGGTTCATTTCTATAGTATTTTTTATACGCACCCGTTCAGGCGACTAGTGCCATCTGTAGCGCGGGGCTTCAACTAACACAGGAATGTGGCAACGAAATATGGCCCGAGAGAGCGATCTATATACTCTTCTTTTATCTATGATTACAGCCATACGACGGGTGCATTCGACTTGGACGCTTACGCGCTGTGAGCGCGCCGTGAGCGCTCTTTCATCGTTCGACTTGGCGCTGTGAGTGTCACATAAGTACGCTCGTAGCACCATCGTAGGATGCTCGTAGCACATATTTTGCGCTCACATACGCTCACGCCACAGAGGTAGGGCAGCGTGAGCGTGAGCGTCAGTTGTTTTTACTATCTGTCATTTCATTTGTTTATTAATTGTCAAATTCTTTATAATTCCGCAAAAATGGCAAGCTGTAGATCACAATTATTTTTTAATATTAATATTGATATTAATTAATTTTAAATTTAATTAATTTTAAATAATTTTAAATTTCAATTTTAATATTACTATTAATTAAGCATAAGCTGACCAAATTTCATTTATTTATTAATTGTTAAATTTTATATAATCCCGCAAAAATGACAAGTTGTATATCACATTTATTTTTTAATATTAATATTAATATTAAATAATTTTAAATTTTAATTTTAATATTACTATTAATTAAGCATAAGCTAACCAAATTTCATTTATTCATTGATTGTTACATTTTTTATAATCCCGCAAAAATGCCAAGTTGTATATCACATTTATTTTTTAATATTAATATTAATATTAATTAATTTTAAATTTAATTAATTTTAAATAATTTTAAATTTTAATTTTAATATTAATATGAATTAAGCATAAGCAAACCAAATTTCATTTATTTATTAATTGTTAAATTGTTTATATTCCCGCTGAATGATCCAGAAAGTAATAAAATTTACACAATTACCGTTACCGCCAGTTGCCGCCATTTTGATGCTTATTGACGCTCACAGTTTCCAAAACGAACGGAATTTAGTTATCGATTCTGAGCGCTTATCGGCCAAGTCGAACGCTAAAAATTCGTGCTTATAAGCGTGAGCGCTCACAGCGCGTAAGCGTCCAAGTCGAACGCACCCGACATGTAGTTTAATTTTAAAAATTTGAGAAAATAAAGTTTTTTTTGACGTTTGTTAATTAAAATTAGATGGTTTACTTGGTATAACGATAGGATATTGGTTTTAATGAACATACTAAACCATTAAAGTCCTACGGAAACTAGTTTAATTATAAAAATTGTTGATTTGTAAAAATTTGCTTTTAGAAAATACTCCGAGTTAATGTGTTCGTTCGTTTTCAATGATGTGTAATAAATCCACTTGGAATACTTTTAATCACTCATAAATTAATTTATTTTTTATTGATTAAGTCGATTATTTACATATATCGGTAAGCTCATATAACTTGCCTTAAGACAAAATACCAATACCAACTAGTTTTTTGAATTGCATAACGTCGAAATGGGAAAAACAGGTTCCTACCATACTCTTCTTTTGATTGTGACAGCGTCCAGTGTGTGTCACCCTAATCTCCTAATCTTCTCTTCATTAAAAGTTTGGTTATGGTCCGGTCCACTCAGCTCCTCTCCACGTTAATTTCCATGTCTATGTTTTCCGTGTTCTTTGGCATTATTGAACGTATGAATTTTCGTCCTGTATACTCTTAATATTTTCTACTACAGTTTCATTTTATTAACTTATATACGAAATTAAATTCGCTGTTATTATGGCTAATCGAACCTCTGCAAGACGAATTCCAGAAAATGATTCTGTCATAACCTATGTTCAAACAGATGGATTGGTGCGAATAACTTTAAATATTGGCTATTGAATTTTATGAAGTTTATTAATTTAATGTTTTTAGGCGGTGATGAAAATGGTTAAACATTGTCACGAAGAATCTCTAGGTGGCTTAGATGTTGCTCAAGGTGCATTACTGGGTTTGGTTGTAGATTCCAGGCTGGAGATAACCAATTGTTTTCCTTTTCCCAAGCAGCATGATGAACAAATGGATGAAGAGGAATATCAATTAGCTATGATGAGACGTCTACGTCGAGTAAATGTTGATCATTTTCATGTTGGATGGTAATAGTTTAAAGCATAATCTGTAACCATATTTTACTATTAACACCCTTTAACCACTTAATCATCTCGAACGAGATCCTGTGAAACTGTTACAATAGCAGAACTGGCCGAAAGAATGTACTAATCTTATCGTTTTTACTTTGATCGAGGCTGTTTTGCTTATGAAGTTTTCATTCTTGCTATCAGCCTCTTTATTTATACATTATCTTCAAGTTTTTATCTGAAGCAATAGTTTTTGGCTATTTTGTATTCCATATATACCTATGAATGCAGGCATGACAATGCTTTTTATAGTGTATTGAAATAGGAAATTATTGAATGGATTATTATTTATATAGAGCTTACAAGTGTGTACTTGAAGTGGATATTTATTATATAATAGTTTTTCAAAAAAAAAAGTTAATGAATGTAAACAGAACTATCTGCTGTTATAATGATCGAAAACATGATATTGTCTAATGGAAATTTTTATAAAAAATCACACATTGAAAATTTAAATTAAATTTTTATATATTTCTTAGGTATCAGAGTGCTGATGTTGGAAATTTTCTCTCATTGCCTTTATTAGAGTCGCAATATCATTATCAAACCAGTATTGAAGAAAGTGTGGTAGTCATCTATGACACTCAAAAGTCTGCTAGAGGCTTCTTGACTTTAAAAGCTTATAGACTTACCCCACAGGTATTTAATAATATGTATTATAATACATATTATATACATATATATATATATATATATATATATATATATATATATATATATATATGTGTATTGATAATTGATCATGTATATTTTATCATAAATTTTCAAGTAATCATTGACCTAAATTTCAGGCTATTGCAATGTACAAAGAAGGCGAATTCACCCCTGATGCTCTTCGCAATTTGAAAATTGGCTATGAAAGCCTATTTAGTGAAGTTCCCATTGTGATAAAAAATTCACCATTAACAAATATCATGATGTCTGAACTGGCAGAAATGGTTCCAGAAGAGCAAGCAACAAAATTTTTGGATTTAGGCACGGCTTCTGTTTTAGAAGGGCAGCTGCGTTGCTTAATGGATCGTGTTGATGAATTGAATCAGGAAGCAATCAAATTCAATCGATTCCAACAACTAGTTGTTCGTCAGCAACAAGATAAACATAGGTACACTCAAAAACGAATGCAAGAAAATGCAGCACGTATTGCAAAAGGTGAACCACCATTGCCAGATGAGGACATTAATAAAATATTCCGTCCCCACCCTGTGCCACCAAGGCTAAATCCAATGATTGTGTCAGGTAATGTGTTATTAGTGATATTTAATTTTTTATTTTTTATTATAATACTTTTTTTTACAGGTCAAATAAACACATATACACAACATATATCCCAGTTTTGCTCCCAGAGTTTAGCTAAGCTTTACATTACACAAGCTCTTCAAAGTGCAAAGGAAAACACTCTTCAGAGTTCTCAAAGGGAGTAAATGTACCTTGAGTTTATTGCTTAATAAATTTATATGTGAATGTATAAAATTGATTTACTTTAAAATTTTCTTTTTCCCTTCAACAGCAGAAATAAGATTTTTCAATTTATTATTTCTCAATATTTTTTTATATAACAATCAAATGTTTTAACAATAAGAATAGTATACATGAGTACAAGGTAAATGGATATTTCTAAACTAAGTTTGAATCTTAGTGGTATAAATTACTAGAATTAAATAAAAATAAACATACAAAATTTATATGAAGCTCAAATTATTTTCCTCACAATTACGCATAATTTTCATACAAGTAAGCAATGAGCTGACTTTTATTTGGGTAAGTTTAATTTGAACAATAATGGGAAGAATAAGGATGAATACAGTAGAAACTAGTTTATACGGCCCTTGGTTATACAGATTTGCAATTATCCAGACTAACAACAGTGACCAATTTATATGTATGTACAAACCTACTACAATTTGATTTTTTTCATTTAGTATATTAGCTGCAGTTTAGTATATGTATATAATGTAATCTAAGAAAATATGCATGTGCATACATAAGGATGTGTTAGTTTTTTAATAAACATTATTTTTGTTGATATTTTTTTTGTATTTGTATATCGACAAGAATTAGTCCAGTTAATCAAGTTTCTACTGTATATTATTCTTGTCTTAAAAGGTGGGATAGAGAATTTACTTCAACTAATATTGCAACATCAGTCTTGTTGCATATATATGAACTAATATGGTATTATCATATGTGAAATTGTGATGATTGTGATAAATGCAATAGAACAAATAAAATTAACATTGTAGCAACGTTCTCTCATAACATTTATTTTTCATTACATTACATAATATGTCGGTTTGCAAATACATGCATTTACACATGTCAATTTGCAAACACATTCATTTACTCAACATGTTAATTTGCAAATCAATATTACTTTTCAAGTGGTGCATAATTCAGCAATTTTTCAATTAAATCAACATGACCTAATAACATTCTTCTACAGCAATATCGCTTAAGCCCTAAGGCATCCAGGGCATCACCTTCGGTGTATTCAGCCTGCAATAATCCAAGGTAAGCTTCCCATTTATTTCCTATAACTTTTCCGCAGGTGAAACAGCGCACAGGTATGATCATGTTGAATCTAAAATAAAATAATGTCTAATGCCTCCTTTATATAGTTTGACTAGTGCAAATTTTTATCACACTTACCACCTAGATATCACAGTACTGCACAAATCTCTATAAAATCTACAAGATATTAGAGGTCTTTTTTGATACAATAATGAATAAATTAGTTTTGTTTAGTTATGCGTCTTATTCGATAAGTTAAGAGTATCATTCTAGACAGGTTCTAGACCATCGCAATGAATAAATAAATCATGGAATCAAACATAAAAAAGCTTTTGTCTTAACAGGTCTTGACGTTTTATGGCGCCATAGAAGCATAGAACATAGAACATTGTTCTTTTGTGAGATAAGCATTTATGAATTTTACCGACCGGACCACTGCAGGCCCTACTATCTCAGTACCATAGATAAATAAGCTCAGTACAAAATCCGCGTTCACAACGCGTAGCATAGATAAGTAAACGCGTAGACGCGTAGTTCCAAGGTAGTCACAAGGCGCAAATTTGGCGCTAGTGAGCCGATTATTATTATAACCATAAAACAGAATGCATAAGTACGACTAACTTTGTGGTATTTATTTATTGTTGAATAACACAAAGTTAATATTTAGATATTATAAACTAACAAGTCATGAGACCGAAAAAAAGCAGAATCTATGTGGCCTGTGTTGGCGTAATTGGTAGAGTGGTGGCTTCGTACCGAAAGGGTACCGAGTTCGAATCATACCTCCAGCCATAAAACGGAATTCAGCAGTACGACTAACGTTGTGGTATTTACTTATTGTTGAATAATACAAAGTTAATATTTAGATATAACAAACTAACAAGTTATGAGATCAAAAAAAGCGGGATTCATGTGGCCTGTGTTGGTGTAATTGGTAGACTGATGGCTTCGTACCGAAAGGGTACTAACTTTGAATCATACCTCCAGCCATAAAACGGAATGCATAAGTACGACTAACTTTGTGGTATTTATTTATTGTTGAATAACACAAAGTTAATATTTAGATATAATAAACTAACAAGTCATGAGACCGAAAAAAAGCAGAATCTATGTGGCCTGTGTTGGCGTAATTGGTAGAGTGGTGGCTTCGTACCGAAAGGGTACCGAGTTCGAATCATACCTCCAGCCATAAAACGGAATTCAGCAGTACGACTAACGTTGTGGTATTTACTTATTGTTGAATAATACAAAGTTAATATTTAGATATAACAAACTAACAAGTTATGAGATCGAAAAAAGCGGGATTCATGTGGCCTGTGTTGGTGTAATTGGTAGACTGATGGCTTCGTACCGAAAGGGTACTAACTTTGAATCATACCTCCAGCCATAAAACGGAATTCAGCAGTACGACTAAAGTTGTGGTGTTGATTTATTGTTGAATAATACAAAATTAATATTTAGATATAACAAACTAACAAGTCATGAGACCGAAAAAAAGCAGAATCCATGTAGCCTGTGTTGGCGTAATTGGTAGAGTTTCGTACCGAAAGGGTACCGAGATCGAATCATACCTCCAGCCATAAAACGGAATTCAGCAGTACGACTAACGTTGTGGTATTGATTTATTGTTGAATAATACAAAGTTAATATTTAGATATAACAAACTAACAAGTCATGAGACCGAAAAAAAGCATTATCCATGTGCCTGTGTTGGCGTAATTGGTAGAGTGATGGCTTCGTACCGAAAGGGTATCGAGTTCGAATCATACCTCCAGCCATAAAACGGAATTCAGCAGTACGACTAACGTTGTGGTATTGATTTATTGTTGAATAATACAAAGTTAATATTTAGATATAACAAACTAACAAGTCATGAGACCGAAAAAAATCAGAATCCATGTGCCTGTGTTGGCGTAATTGGTAGAGTGATGGCTTCGTACCGAAAGGGTACCGAGTTCGAATCATACCTCCAGCCATAAAACGGAATTCAGCAGTACGACTAACGTTGTGGTATTGATTTATTGTTGAATAATACGAAGTTAATATTTAGATATAACAAACTAACAAGTCATGAGACCGAAAAAAAGCATAATCCATGTGGCCTGTGTTGGCGTAATTGGTAGAGTGATGGCTTCGTACCGAAAGGGTACCGAGTTCGAATCATACCTCCAGCCATAAAACGGAATTCAGCAGTACGACTAACGTTGTGGTGTTGATTTATTGTAGAATAATACGAAGTTAATATTTAGATATAACAAACTAACAAGTCATGAGACCGAAAGAAAGCAGAATTAATGTGGCGTGTGTTGGCGTAATTGGTAGAGTGATGGCTTCGTACCGAAAGGATACCGAGTTCGAATCATACCTCCAGCCATAAAACGGAATTCAGCAGTACGACTAACGTTGTGGTATTTACTTATTGTTGAATAATACAAAGTTAATATTTAGATATAACAAACTAAAAAGTCATGAGACCGAAAAAAAGCAGAGTTAATGTGGCGTGTGTTGGCGTAATTGGTAGAGTGATGGCTTCGTACCGAAAGGGTACCGAGTTCGAATCATACCTCCAGCCATAAAACGGAATTCAGCAGTACGACTAACGTTGTTGTATTTACTTACTGTTACATAACACAAAGTAGATATAACAAACTAACAAGTCATGAGGCCGAAAAAAGCAAGATCTATGTGGCCTGTGTTGGCGTAATTGGTAGAGTGATGGCTTCGTACCGAAGGGGTACGGAGTTCGAATCATGCCTCCAGCCATAAAACGGAATTCAGCAGTACGACTGACGTTGTGGTATTTACTTACTGTTACATAACACAAAGTAGATATAACAAACGAACAAGTCATGAGACCGAAATTAAGCAGAGTCCATGTGGGCTGTGCTGGCGTAATTGGTTGCGTGATAGCTTCATACCCAAAGGGTACCGAGTTCGATTCATACCTCCGAACACAAAACGCAAAACAGCAGGTCTATTGGACGTTGTGGACGAGGCATGCACGGAATCACATCTCGATCGAGAGAAGAGATGTGCGAGAATCCCGTATCATCCCCTAATAAACCCCGAATCATCCCCGAACAGGGGTGGGGTTTGCGAACCCGTGCCCCTGTGATCCCACTCCCGCGACAAAGACCTCCTGGATCGCCGCCGGTTGAAAAACTTCGGCAGGTCGGTGTGCATCGTTGGATACCGATGATGGGGGTGGTGAGATAAGGGAAGAAAAAAAAGGGGAAGAGAAAAGAGAAGGTTGACGGTTGCTCTGGCAACTGAAAACAACAATCTAACACCGGTTGCTATGGCAACGGTCTTGATTGACCAAAAATTTTTTGGTCAAGAAGGATCTGACGGTTGCTATGGCAACGGTTACCTAGCAACCGGTTAGTAAAAACTGAATTTTGGAATTATAAAAAATTTGTCAATCGTTGCCATGGTAACCGTTGCCATAGCAACCGTCAGATCCTTTTTGACCAAATATTTTTTTGCTGACGGTTGCCATGGCAACGGTTACCATGGCAACGATTGACCAAAAAAATTTTTGGTCAAGAAGGATCTGACGGTTGCTATGGCAACGGTTACCTAGCAACCGGTTAGTAAAAACTGAATTTTGGAATTATAAAAAAATTTGTCAATCGTTGCCATGGTAACCGTTGCCATAGCAACCGTCAGATCCTTTTTGACCAAATATTTTTTTGCTGACGGTTGCCATGGCAACGATTGACCAAAAAATTTTTTGGTCAAGAAGGATCTGACGGTTGCTATGGCAACGGTTACCTAGCAACCGGTTAGTAAAAACTGAATTTTGGAATTATAAAAAAATTTGTCAATCGTTGCCATGGTAACCGTTGCCATAGCAACCGTCAGATCCTTTTTGACCAAATATTTTTTTGCTGACGGTTGCCATGGCAACGGTTACCATGGCAACGATTGACCAAAAAATTTTTTGGTCAAGAAGGATCTGACGGTTGCTATGGCAACGGTTACCTAGCAACCGGTTAGTAAAAACTGAATTTTGGAATTATAAAAAATTTTGTCAATCGTTGCCATGGTAACCGTTGCCATAGCAACCGTCAGATCCTTTTTGACCAAATATTTTTTTGCTGACGGTTGCCATGGCAACGGTTACCATGGCAACGATTGACCAAACAATTTTTGGTCAAGAAGGATCTGACGGTTGCTCTGGCAACGGTTACCATAGCAACCGGTTAGTTAAAACTGAATTTTGGAATTATAAAAAATTTTGTCAATCGTTGCCATGGTAACCGTTGCCATAGCAACCGGTGTTAGATTATTGTTTTCAGTTGCCATAGCAACCGTCAACCCTCTTTCTCTCTTTTCTCTTCCCCTTTTTTTTCTTCCCTTATCTCACCACCCCCATCATCGGTATCTAACGATGCACACCGACCTGCCGAAGTTTTTCAACCGGCGGCGATCCAGGAGGGCTTTGTCGCGGGAGTGGGATCACAGGGGCACGGGTTCGCAAACCCCACCCCTGTTCAAGGATGATTCGGGGTTTATTAGGGGATGATACGGGATTCTCGCACATCTCTTCTCTCGATCGAGATGTGATTCCGTGCATGCCTCGTCCACAACGTCCAATAGACCTGCTGTTTTGCGTTTTGTGTTCGGAGGTATGAATCGAACTCGGTACCCTTTGGGTATGAAGCTATCACGCAACCAATTACGCCAGCACAGCCCACATGGACTCTGCTTAATTTCGGTCTCATGACTTGTTCGTTTGTTATATCTACTTTGTGTTATGTAACAGTAAGTAAATACCACAACGTTAGTCGTACTGCTGAATTCCGTTTTATGGCTGGAGGCATGATTCGAACTCCGTACCCCTTCGGTACGAAGCCATCACTCTACCAATTACGCCAACACAGGCCACATAGATCTTGCTTTTTTCGGCCTCATGACTTGTTAGTTTGTTATATCTACTTTGTGTTATGTAACAGTAAGTAAATACAACAACATTAGTCGTACTGCTGAATTCCGTTTTATGGCTGGAGGTATGATTTGAACTCGGTACCCTTTCGGTACAAAGCCATCACTCTACCAATTACGCCAACACAGGCTACATGGATTATGCTTTTTTTCGGTCTCATGACTTGTTAGTTTGTTATATCTAAATATTAACTTTGTATTATTCAACAATAAATCAATACCACAACGTTAGCCGTACTGCTGAATTCCGTTTTATGGCTGGAGGTATGATTCGAACTCGGTACCCTTTCGGTACGAAGCCATCACTCTACCAATTACGCCAACACACGCCACATTAATTCTGCTTTTTTTCGGTCTCATGACTTTTTAGTTTGTTATATCTAAATATTAACTTTGTATTATTCAACAATAAGTAAATACCACAA